ATATTTAAATAATTTAAATAATCTAAAAAATTTAATAAGTAAAAAATTAAAATAAATATTCAAAAATTTTAAATTGATGTTCAAAAATTTTAAATAATTTCAAATACACAAAAAAAAAATTAAAATATTTAAAAATATTTTTATAAAATAGAATCTGAATTTATTTTTATAAAATATTTTAAAATTTAAAAAATTAAAATCGTAATATTTAAAAATTAAAATATTTAAAAATATTCAAAAAAATTTAAAAATCTTAACAAAATTAAAATATTGATTTGAATTGAGTTTTGAAAAAAGTTTTGAATTATGTGTTTGATTATGAGTTTTGAAAAGTAATGATTATGTTTTGAATTGAGTATTGAGAAATAGGTATAGAATTATGATTTGAAAGCTTAAAACAAACACCACATTCAAATTAATAGGTGAAATTATAATTTGAGAGACTTAGGCTCCGTTTGGCAAGAGCTAAACGAGGCTTTTTTTGACTATTTTAGCCACAAAAGACAAAATATGCTATTTTAGTCACAAAAAACAAAATATCACATCCAATCCATAATCATTACATTATTTTCTCACAAAAAATTCAAAAAAGTCAAAAAGTCCTTTCCAAACCAAACTTTTTAGCCCAAGTTAAAATAGCTAAAAAAATTAAAAAGTTAAAAAGCCAACCCACTTCTCAAACGGAGGCTTAGCAAACGAAGCCTTCATTTTTTTTTTGAAAAGTGCAAAGTTGATTGGACCCAAAAAAAAAAAAAAAAAAAAAAAAAAAAAAAAAAAAAAAAAGAAGGGTACAAAATTGATTAGACAGTGAAATTGGAATCCTTTTGCATTTGAGGGGATAAAAATGACTTAGCGAAATTATGAGTTGGTTTGGGAGGTGGATTAGTTTTTTAATTTTTTGATTTTTTTGACTATTTTAATTTAGATTAAAAAGTTTGATTTGGGAAGAATTTTTTGGCTTTTTTAATTTTTTTATGAGAGAAGAGTGTAATGATTATGGGTTGAATGTGATATTTTATTTTTTGTGGTTAAAATAATATATTTTGGCTTCATTTGGGAAGTGGCTATTTTAGTAGGCTATTTGGATTTTTTGCTATTTTAGTGGCTATTTTAGTTTTTGTGTTTGGGAAGATGAGATGATTTTTTAGTTGAGTTATTGTATTGAAAAGTGTGTTGAAATGATGTTTAAATTTAAAATGACAAATTTATCCCTAACTTTTTATTTTTTAAATTAATATAAAGGGGTAAAATGGTAATTTTGCATTGATGTATAATTTTCCGGCTGTGACAACCTACACTGTCCAGCGCAGTACCTATTATTATTAATTTTTTTTTTGAAAACCTGTGAACAGTGCCACTTTTTGGCTTATTTCTCAAATGAGGCTATTTTAGCCTCATTGGCAGCTTCCCAAACAGTGCCTTTGTCTTATGTGGCTAAAATAACAAAAAAAAGCCTAGTTTAGCTCTTTCAAAACGTTGAGTTCCAATACTCTTTAGCAGAGTAGTTATAGGTTATTACGTGTGTGGATGAGCATTATTAACTTCAAACTATTGTATATGGAGTAGAATTTATTATGAGATGAGATTGTGTAGATATAAAGGCCTTGTTTGGTTTGTGTTTGTAGAGTAGTTTTTTAGATAAAAAATACAAAAATTTATTTGGTTTGTCTTTTTTCAGAAATGGTTTTGGAAAATTGTTTTGAGAAGAGAGTTTTAAAAAGAGTGATTGATTTGATGTGTATGAGAGAGAGTGATTTTGAAAAGTAGATAACTAAACAAAATTTTGAGATTTTTTTTGAAAACATTTGTTTGATTTGATTACTCTTGAAAATTTATTTGTAGAGAATTTTTCCTAAACTTTTTCTAAAAAATAAACCAAACAAGATCAAAAATCCTAAACAATCAGACGTTGTTTGGGAATTTTTTTTCTAAAATACTCAAATTACTTGTTAGACAAGAAATTGGTTAGAATTCCTTTCAATTTGACATACTAAGCCTCCGTTTGGGAAGTGGGTTGGCTTTTTGGCTTTTTGGCTTTTTTGGCTATTTTAGCTTGGGCTAAAAAGTTTGGTTTGGGAAGGGCTTTTTGGCTTTTTGGCTTTTTTTGACTTTTTTTGTGAGAGAAGAATGTAATGATTATAGGTTGGATGTGATGTTTTGTTTGTTATGGCTAAAATAGCCTATTTTGTTTTTTGTGGCTAAAATAGCCAAAAAAGCCTGAAAAAGCCCTTGCCAAACACAGGCTAAGTAGAAGATTGATGTTAGCTTTGGTAGACTCATCATGATGATTCAAATCATTATTTTTATAAGATTTTTTTAATAAATCATTTAAGCAAATTTACCCTCGAGAAATATTTTAAAATTTATATCAACTTATAAATTTTAGACTATTAATTCTTATTAAAAAGGAAAATTTAGCCAGAATCTCTCTATTGAATCCTTGTTAGTGAAAATGATAGTCTAATTTATTTTATTTTATAACCTCTTAAGAAAAAAATACATAATTGAATAAAGGTAAAATAAAATATCTTTTTTTTTTCGTAGACAATATTGCGAGAGTAACATGTTACTGTGAACTAAAGTAACATGTTACTGTGAACTAAAGTAACGTACTACTGTCAAACAAATTAATACGTTACCGAGAGACAGAGTTACATCTTACTGTTAAATAGAGTAACTGTTAAATAGAATAATATGTTATTATTTACATTAATTTCGACGAAAATATATATATATTTAAGATTTCATAATCAACATGAATTTTAGCTGATAGATCTTGATAAAAGAATTCTAAAAATATTAATTTTATTAAAAATTGACATTTATATAAAAAAAAATATTATTTTAAAGTTTAATATTTTGATAATAATAATATGTATCAATTTTTTTAAGAAATACTTTTTATACTTATTTTTAAAGAATAAAAATTTATTTATGAAAGAGTTTTGAATAAATCCCCCTATTAAAAATTTATTTGTCAGCAATGCTATGAATCGCCGTCCAAAAAAAAGCAACGCCATGAATCACAAATTTTTATATCCGTGAAAAGCGTGGTACATGTCCAGGAATTGTCCTTATATGCAACAGAGTTGTGGGGGGACTCTTTCGGACACCACAGGAGAAACTCGTGCCTCCAGACACTAAGGGCTTGTTTGGTTTAACTCTTAAAACATGATTTTTAAATTTTTTTTTTTAAATTTTATTTGATTGAAAATATTTTGAATTTTTTTTTTTAAAATTAGTCTCTCTCTTCAACACATCAATCAATCACCTTTTTTCTCTTTTCTCTCTTTCTTAATCACTTTTTATCTCACACACATCTACTTAATTACGACAAAATATCAAATCATCAAAAACTCTCAAATTCTAAAACTATTTTCAAAATATACAACTAAACAAACCAAAAAATTTCTAAACTTTGGCAGTGTTTGGGAACTTGGGTTTTGTTTTTGTTTTTGTTTTTTTTTTTCACTATAAGACAAATGTTTTTCAAAACCAAAAAAACAAATCCAAACAAAATATCACATCAAATCCCATAATCATTTCACTTTTTCTCTCATAAACATTACATCCAACTACAAAAAACTCCAACTATCTTCCCAAACACAACAATTTTTTTTCTCCAATAATATCCTACAACTAAAAAAATTTACAAAAAAATTCACTTCCCAAACACCCATTTTCTCTCCATTTTTTTAAAAAAATTTATCTCAAAACACAAACCAAACGCACCATAATTTTAAAACATAGACAAAAAACAATTTGGGTTATCTTTGAGAGTAAGTAAAAAAACTAATATATTAGCAAAAAAAAAAATTATAAAAAGTTAATATTATAAAAAGGAAAAATTACAAATAAATAAGAAAATTTTAAAATAAGTACATTGCAAGTGAATTTTTTATAATGCAAATCTCACACACAGAGCACCCAATCAATTTATGCGCATCTCGACTAATTTTACAACCTTAAAATTAAGTATGAGACAAATTTTTAATGACTTCAAAATTTAAAATATTTGACTTTGGTGATATTTCATCTTGACATTTCTTGAATGATAAGTTCTTTAGTTGTCAAACCCCTTCTTTACAATTTTTTTCCCTCCAAATCTCATCCATCTAAAATCTTTTCTTTCTTTTTTTTATTTTTTTAATTTTTGGTAGAGAGAATAGAAAATTTTATAGAAACACGCTTATAACACTTTCTTCAATTTTTCATGTTCCCAAATTTTATTTTTCAACAATAATATATAATTCCGACCTAGAAAACAAAATAATATATAATTTTCAAATAAAATTCAAGTATATTTGTGTCCATCATTATTTTATTTTTTTTAATCAATGGTTCTAAAGTTCTTTTTATGAAAATTACTTAGCATTAATAGTTCATGTAAATAATTTATATTTCCAATCTTGAAATTCTCAATAATTTTTTAATTATACTTTTGAGCATTGCTAATCAGGCTTAAAAGTTAGATTGTAATGATGTGTCAAGAAAATAATTAATTAATAATTAAATTTTATTTAATTCTCAACTAATTATTTTTCTAACAAATCACTAAATCTATAAAATAGATATAAAAAGTGAACTTATATATCATTTTTTATATTTTTCATTTACGTAATCCACTTTTATTCCTCATATTGGCATTTGTTGCATGAATACATCCAAGTGGAGAAATATATAATTCCCAGGTGTCAACACAAAGCACAAAAACATTTTGCCCTATAAATTTACCAAAGATGATGAACTGAATAAAAAGTGAACTTATATACTCCCTTCGTCCCAAAATAATGGTCCCTTTTGGGGAATCCAACTTTTTTTGGTAGTACAATTATTGAATTTGAAAAAAGTTGATTTTTCAAAATTATCCTTTTGATAGTACATTTTTTGAGAATATCAATGCATAATTGTACTTTTTATATGTTGTTTATTAATTTAAAAGAAGGGTAAAATAGGAAATTTATATTATTTTTGTACTTGATTTTTGAAGAGGGACTAATATTTTGGGACAATGAAAAATGGAATAAGGGACTAATATTTTGGGACGGAGGGAGTATCATTTTTTATATTTTTCATTTACGTAATCCACTTTTATTCCTCATATTGGCATTTGTTGCATGAATACATCCAAGTGGAGAAATATATAATTCCCAGGTGTCAACACAAAGCACAAAAACATTTTGCCCTATAAATTTACCAAAGATGATGAACTGAGAGCATAGTGAAGTGAAATTTGAGAGAGAGTTATAAAAAACAATTTGGAGAGAAAAAGAGAGAAGAATGGGTTCAGAAGCAGCTAAGGTGAAATCAATCTTCATATACCCGATCAAATCATGCCGTGGAATCTCTGTTTCTGAAGCACCCCTCTCTTCCACTGGTAACACAACAAAACTCTCTTCTTCAATCTCTTCATTTTTTTAGGAAAATTACGAATTAATTTTAGAAATTTATTACGTATTCATGAAAAATTTTATGTTTTTAATTATTAATATTTATAAAGTTTACCCATTATTTACAATTATTTTTCAAAATTACCTGAAGTGAAATTTTTTCGTCTTCTTCTTTTTTTTTTTTTGAGTTTTAATTTTTCATGTATATATATATTGTTGGAGTTAACGTTAAGCTCTCTTGCATGATTTTATACTTGTGATTATTTATTCATTTGTTTTTTATGATTTTATTTTTTATTTTTTTGCGGGTTTGGGGATGAATCAATGGGTTGAATCGAGTGAACACGTGCTTAGATTACAGATAGCACATAATGAAAAATAATAATAATAAATCACGGTGACCTCCTTGAAGTATGACAAAATTACAGATAGCCCCTTAGTTTTTATATAATTGCACTGACTTCCCCATTTTTTGTGTCCTTACATATTTTGGCTTTGTTTGTTTTGTTTTTCAGAAAAATTTTTGGAAAAAATTCTTTACAAACAAATTTTCAAGAATAATTAAACCAAACAAATTTTTCCAAAAAAAATCTCAAAATTTTGTTTGGTTACCTATTTTTCAAAATCATTCTCTCTCTCATACACTTCGAATCAATCACTTTTTTTAAAACTCTCTTCCCAAAACAATTTTTTAAAACCATTTCTGAAAAAAGACAAACCAAATAAGTTTTCATATTTTTATCTCAAAAACTACTCTACAAACACAAACCAAACACATGGCCTTGTTTGGTTTGTTTTTCAGAAAAAATTTTGAGAAAAATTCTCTACAAACAAAATTTCAAGAGTAATTAAACCAAACAAATTTTTCCAAAAAAAATTTCAAAATTTTGTTTGGTTACCTACTTTCCAAAATCACTCTCTCTCTCACGCATCAAATCAATCACTTTTTTTAAAACTCTCTCCCAAAAATAATTTTCCAAAACCATTTCTAAAAAAAGACAAACCAAACAATTTTTCATACTTTTTATCTCAAAAATTACTCTATAAACACAAACCAAACACGTTTTTTAAAAAAATTTAGCTTAAATGTAAAATGACGGAAATACCCTTATCACAAATAAGGGTATTTGCTGTCTACTCCTCTCTCTCTCTCTCCCTCTAACTCAGGCCTCGTTTGGCAAGAGCTATTTTAGCCAATTAGCCAAAAAGTTACTAAATTAGCCAAAAAGCCAACAACCCATACCAAAAAGTCAAAGGTTCTCTTTTCTCTCTACTTTTTGCACATCTTTTCGTAATTAGCCAAAAAGTCATCCCAAACATATAAGTTTTTTTTACCTACCTTTTTAGCCAAATAGCCAAAAAGTTACTAAATTAGCCTGGTCCCAAACGAGGCCCACTCTCACTTTGACACTCTTTGTTTGCAGTGGGTTGAGGAAAGTGGCGGAGCCACAGTTGCTCCAGGGGTCACGTGACCCCCCTGGTTTTGGAATTTTTTATTTATTTTTTGTTGCAAATATAAAGAAAAAATTTTAAATAAAAAAATTATAAAATATTATTTAGATTGAAATATCAATGACATTTTTAAAATTATGAGAATAATAATGGTTGTTTTTTTTATTGAAAATAAAGCTATTACGATAAATTATATTATTATTAATGAAAATTTCAATATAATGGTGATGTCCATCATTATTAACATGCAATTATAATTAAACTCAATGAAAATATGAAATTTATTGAATTGTTAGTTACATTTGACATGTGAGATTCATCCTTTATGTGTTTCTTTATTATTGGTTGGTGATATCACAAGTCAATGATGACGTAGTATGACTATTATATTGAATTTTTACTGAAATTTTGTATAAAAAAATACTTTATCATTATATAATTTATTTTAAAACTTATATCCATGACTTTTTTTTTTTTTATATTGTCCATGATATATTAGTTACAAATAATATATATCTATATATATATATCTTTCTTGAAATAAATCGTAAAAATTTATGTGAAATATTTTTGTAAAATTTTTTAATGTTGTGATTAATAAGTGCCCCATCTGATTTAATTTCTTGGCTCCGCCACTTGTTGAGGAGGGGAGGACAGGTGGGGGATGAGAAGGTTTTTTGATTTTTCTATGTTTGTTTGATTTTATTGTTGCAACTTTGTGTTAATTCCTGGGTTTTATCGTAATTACATGAATGAGGGGTTGGCCAAGTGGTAAAGATTTAAGGCTTAAAGTTCGAGTCACCCAATGTCTCAATCGAGACACCCCAGGGGCCACTGTCTAATCGATATATTCAGTTACTTCAAAGGCAAAATAGGTATGCTAATACAAAATTAACAGTTCTGTCTAATTGATTAATGGCTAACTAACAGCAATTGGGGTTAAGTGCAATGCAAATTTAACAATGAGGGAGGTCGGCATAATTATGTCAGAAGTGTAGAGTGCACCTTAATTGCTCCAAAACTTAGGGGAGGTCAATACAATTTGCTCATATTTATTATTATTATTATTGCTTTCAAAAGTATGGTAATGGATTAGAAAGTTGGGTTAGCTTAGCTGCACAACCCTCAAATTCCATACCTTTCTTTAAAAACTTAGAGATACAACGACTTGAATTTTGCTCAAGTTTGAGATGCTTATGTTTATACAGTAGCAAATCAGTATCTTATAACCAATAGAATTTCTCATGGTGGTTCTTCATAAATGAAATTGGTGATTTTACTTCTTTGTTAATATATTGTTATATGATATGTGGTGTTGCCATCATAAATTGAGGAATTAAGACAAAGGTTGCCAACTGAATCAAAGAATATCTGTATTCTGTTTAAGTTATTTTTTTTTCTTTTTTAAGATTCAATTGACACGAAACACTTGGTAACTGTTATGGCCAAAAAATAACTTACAGTGTTTCCATTTGCAAACATAATTCAGTTTCTTCTATGTTTGGAAAATACAGGATTTCGGTGGGATCGACAATGGTTAGTTGTGAATTCCAAAGGTAGGGCAATTACACAACGAGTTGAACCAAAGCTTGCTCTGGTCCAAGTAGAGCTGCCAAGTGAGGCATTCTCCGAGGGTTGGCAACCTACTAAGAGCTCATATTTAGGTAAAATCATTACTCAATCTCTGCTTTCCTGTCAATTAGAGTGTCAACAAGCATAGGCATGTGACCTCCGATGCCCTGCTAGTTTTTTTTTGGGATTCTAGACAACCATATGTTTACTTCATTTTTTGGTTCATAAATGTCTTCCAATATTTGTCTTTTCAGTTTGGAAATTTAAATTTAAATTTTCTTTTTCTTTTTTTAGACATACATCTTGATTCAAAGTAGCTTCGTAGATGTGATTTTATCGTGACTAATAATTCACATTCTTTTACAGTGATAAGGGCTCCTGGTATGGATGAGCTAAAGGTTCCCTTGACTAAACCTCGTGAAATTTCTGATGGTGTCTCGGTGTGGGAGTGGTCTGGCTCTGCATTTGATGAGGGAACTGAAGCATCAAAATGGTTCTCCAATTTTCTTGCAAAGCCCAGTCGGCTAGTGCGTTTTAATGAAGGTATTGCTCAATTTAAAAATGTTCATAGAACATTATGCATTTCAGTATGTATGAAAAATCAATCTAGGTCCTATTTGTTGCTTAGAAATAGCTAGTTACTGGACAGGCTGATTTAAATCTGCAATATAGAAACTATAATGCCTTTTTTTTCTTTCTTTTAACGAAAGTTCCAAAGCATTTTTTTTTTCCCAAAAAGAAAAAATTATTATTGTAAATTCATGTAGTGGAGAAATTTTCATAAAATCTCCAGCATGAACTATTTCTGACTTTTTCCTAACTTGAAGTTTAGCATATTAGAACCTAAATTCTCTTCCTCACCCTGGAAAGTTCTCAGCCTTTATCCAGTAGTTCTACCAATCTTCAAATGTAAAAATGATCATAGCAATATTATATCAGGCTCATATCTCCTTGAGTTGGATTTCCATAGTATTTGCATTGCTATAATGGAACTCTAGTAGCTGACTTCTATCTTTTCTGATAGAATGTTCTAGTAACAAGATGCCCGAAACAGAGAAATAATAAAACTAACTTGGCCGGTTTATTCATTATGCAGTAACGGAGACCAGGCCTGTCAACCGTGAGTATGCTCACGGATACAAAGTTATGTTTTCTGACCAGTTTCCATTCCTCCTGATATCCCAGGTTAGTGAAGTTATAGATTGTTAGTTTTTGAGAAGAGAAGAAAAACAGGGAAAATGAAGAATAGAAATTGAATGAAATGAAAGAATAAAAGCAGGAAATGATAAAAGCTGATATGATGCAGCAAAAAGGAATTATCTTCATTCATTCTCGTGCATTACATTTATAGTAAGAATATCTGAATATAGTAAGAATATCTGAACTGAAAAGATAATGAATCCCAAAAATTACGGTAACAACCAAGATTTCTGATAACACTAACAATATCCTAAAGAATAGGACTTATTGACTAGAAAAACAAATTCTAGTTATTGACTGAAACTAATCAAAGAAAACTTCAATGTGGCAGTCTTGAAGCAAATTATTAACACTCCTCCTTGCTTTAGGCACTGCAAATTCCAATCATCTTCCTTAGTAACTCGAACTTGCCAACTGGAAGTGGCTTTGTGAACAAATCTGCCAGCTGATCTTCAAACTTGCAGTAAGCAAGTTTCACTTTTCCAGTTTGTTGCACTTCCCTCAAGAAGTAGAGCTTGATGTTGAAGTGTTTTGTTTTTCCGTGAAATACTGGATTTCGTGAAATTGCAATTGCTGCTTGATTATCAACAAAAATCTCAGTACCTTCATTTTGCACCATGTGTAAATCAGATAGAACTTTCCTTAGCCATAGGGCTTGGTTTGCTGCTGCAGTTGCTGCAATAAACTCTGCTTCTGCAGTGGATTGCGCTACAATCTCTTGTTTCTTTGAACACCATGAAAAAACACCTGAGCCTAGGTTGAAAGAGTATCCTGAGGTACTTTTCATGTCATCAACAGAACCACCCCAATCACTATATGAAAAACCACTCAACTTGAAGTTCTGACTCTTCTCAAACTTGACACCACAATCAAGACTGCCCTTAATAAACCTTAAGACTCTTTTTGCTGCTCTTAAATGCACTTCACTAGCACAATGCATAAAATGAGATAAGAGACTTACAGCAAATAGAATATCAGGTCTTGTTGCTGTAAGATACATCAAGCAACCAATCAAACTTCTGTAATAGCCTTCATCAACTTTACTAGCACCATCTTCTTTGCTCAGCTTCTCTTTTTGACCCATTGGTGTGTTTATTGCTTTATTGCTAACTTCAATGTGGCAGTCTTGAAGCAAATTATTAACACTCCTCCTTGCTTTAGGCCCCAATTTTCATGCCCAAATGGTAACTCGAACTTGCCAACTGGAAGTGGCTTTGTGAACAAATCTGCCAGCTGATCTTCAGACTTGCAGTAAGCAAGTTTCACTTTTCCAGTTTGTTGCACTTCCCTCAAGAAGTAGAGCTTGATGTTGAAGTGTTTTGTTTTTCCATGAAACACTGGATTTCGTGAAATTGCAATTGTTGCTTGATTATCAACAAAAATCTCAGTACCTTCATTTTGCACCATGTGTAAATCAGATAGAACTTTCCTTAGCCATAGAGCTTGGTTTGCTGCTGCAGTTGCTGCAATAAACTCTGCTTCTGCAGTGGATTGCGCTACAATCTCTTGTTTCTTTGAACACCATGAAAAAACACCTGAGCCTAGGTTGAAACAGTATCCTGAGGTACTTTTCATGTCATCAACAGAACCACCCCAATCACTATTTGAAAAACCACTCAACTTGAAGTTCTGACTCTTCTCAAAATTGACACCACAATCAAGACTGCCCTTAATAAACCTTAAGACTCTTTTTGCTGCTCTTAAATGCACTTCACTAGCACAATGCATAAAATGAGATAAGAGACTTACGGCAAATAGAATATCAGGTCTTGTTGCTGTAAGATACATCAAGCAACCAATCAAACTTCTGTAATAGCCTTCATCAACTTTACTAGCACCATCTTCTTTGCTCAGCTTCTCTTTTTGACCCATTGGTGTGTTTATTGCTTTGCACTCCTCCATCTGAAATTTCTTCAAAATTTCCTTTGCATACTTCTTCTGACAGATGAAAACTTCATTTTGGCTTTGTTGAACCTCCAAGCCAAGAAACTAAGTCATAAGACCAAGATCTGTCATCTCAAAGACCTGCATCATCTCTTGTTTAAACTCCTCAATCATCTGTGCATTATTTCTTGCTACCAAAAGGTCATCAACATAAAGAGATACAATAAGAACATAACTACCCTTTTGTTTAACATAAAGAGTAGCTTCAGATAAGCTTTTTGTAAAGCCTAAGCTTGGCAAATGTTCATCAATCCTGTTGTACCAAGCTTTTGGAGCTTGCTTTAGGCCGTAAAGAGCCTTTTTGAGCAAATAGACCATATCCTCTTCACCTTGCACAACAAAACCTTATGGTTGTTCCACATAAATTTCTTCTTGTAGAACACCATTTAGAAAAGCTGATTTGACATCTAGCTGAAACACATTCCAGCCTTTTTGTGCTGATAAGGCTAACAACAACCTGATAGTGTGTAAAAAAACTGATGTATTATTGATTGATTATTATGTTATGTTTACATTGATTCATATATATAGAAGAGAAGAAGGTAGTAGGTGAAGGGGAGTAGGTGAAGTGTAGTAGGTGAGGAGTAGGTGAGGAGTAGGTGGTGGTAGGTGATGGTAAATTGGTGGTAGGTGATGGTAAATTTTGCTGATAAGGCTAACAACAACCTGATAGTGTCTAGTCTAGCAACAGGAGCAAATGTTTCAGAATAATCAACACCAAAAATTTGAGCATAGCCCTTGACGACGAGCCTTGCTTTGTGTTTGTTGATGGAGTTATCAGCATTTAGCTTTGTTCGGTACACCCACTTTACTCCAATGATCCTTCTGCCTTTTGGTTTGTTGACTAATTCTCAGGTTTTGTTTTTGTGAATCACTGACATCTTCTCCTCCATTGCTTTCTTCCACTTCGGGTCTTTACGAGCTTCTTCATGATCAGCAGGTTCACATAATGCTACATTACATCTTTGATAGATGTCTGAAAGTGATCTCGTTCCTCTAATTGGTGGATCATCTACCAATTTATTTTCCCACTGGTCTGTTGTCTCCTCCTCAAAAGAATTGCTTCTAAATTCTTCTGAAGGTCTGTTAGTTTCTTGTGAATTTTCCCAGTCCCATTGCTCATCCTCATTGAAGTGAACATCTCTAGTTATCACCATTTTTCTTGTTTGAGGATGATATACTTTGTAGGCTTTAGAAATTGTGCTATAGCCAACAAAGATACCTGGAATTGCTTTTTTGTCAAGCTTGTCTCTCTTAACCTGTGGACAAGGTTTTAAAAACGGCCGCAACCGTTACGTAACGCCGTTACGTAACGGTTTTGGCGGTTATCGCCACCCATTACGGCCGCTTTTGCAGTGTGATTGAGATTCACAGGTGTGTCGGCCGTAGTGGCCGCCATAGCGGTCGTAACGGTGTCGTAACGGCCTGTTACGCATCGTTACGTAACGGTTTCAAACTGTTTCTTTCGAAAAAACACACAAAAAAAAGATTTTTTTCTATATATAGAAGAGGGTGAGTGTGTAGTAGGTGAGGAGTAGGTGGTGGTAGGTGATGGTAAATTGGTGGTAGGTGATGGTAAATTTTAACATAGTGTCTAGTCTAGCAACAGGAGCAAATGTTTCAGAATAATCAACACCAAAAATTTGAGCATAGCCCTTGACGACGAGCCTTGCTTTGTGTTTGTTGATGGAGTTATCAGCATTTAGCTTCGTTCGGTACACCCACTTTACTCCAATGATCCTTCTGCCTTTTGGTTTGTTGACTAATTCTCAAGTTTTGTTTTTGTGAATCACTGACATCTTCTCCTCCATTGCTTTCTTCCACTTCGGGTCTTTACGAGCTTCTTCATGATCAGCAGGTTCACATAATGCTACATTACATCTTTGATAGATGTCTGAAAGTGATCTCGTTCCTCTAATTGGTGGATCATCTACCAATTTATTTTCCCACTGGTCTGTTGTCTCCTCCTCAAAAGAATTGCTTCTAAATTCTCCTGAAGGTCTGTTAGTTTCTTGTGAATTTTCCCAGTCCCATTGCTCATCCTCATTGAAGTGAACATCTCTAGTTATCACCATTTTTCTTGTTTGAGGATGATATACTTTGTAGGCTTTAGAAATTGTGCTATAGCCAACAAAGATACTTGGAATTGCTTTTTTGTCAAGCTTGTCTCTCTTAACCTGTGGAACATGGACAAAACACAAACAACCAAATACTTTAAGAAAACTTAGTGAAGGTATATACTCATACCAAGCTTCAAATGGAGTTTTGTCTTCAACGGCTACACTTGGAAGCCGATTTTGCAGAAATATTCCTGTATTGGCTGCCTCTGCCCAAAAACTTTTTGGCAACCCCTTCTCATGCAGCATGCATCTAGCCATCTCCATGACATATCTGTTCTTCCTTTCACTCACTCTATTTTGCTGTGGAGTGTAAGGAGCAGTAAGCTGATGTTCTATGCCAGCTTCATCACAAAACAGGTTACATTCTGCAGAAGTGTACTCTTTTCCATTATCAGACCTTAAGATTTGAATTTTGCAACCGCTTAAATTTTCCACCATTTTTTTAAACTTCCAGAATACTCCAGCAACTTCAGACTTGAACTTTAGGAAATAAATCCAACACATTCTTGTAAAATCATTAATGAAAAGAATGTAATACCAGCTACCTTGAAGAGATGGTGTTCTTTGAGGTCCTCCGACATCTGTATGAACTAGTTGCAACTTTTGTGTTGCTCTCCAGGATGATTTAGGAAATGGTTTCCTACTTTGTTTACCAAATTGACAAGCATGACAATTTGGCAAGTGATCAACCAGAACTGGTAATCCTCTTGTCACTTCATCTTTTTTCATCTTGAGCATTTGTTGAAGATGACAATGCCCAAGCCTTTTGTGCCAGACTTCAGTGATGTTGACATTGGTGGAATGAGCTGTGTGCTCCTCCTCCGTAGGATCAAATAAGAAGCTTTTCCCTTTCATTTTGACACGTAAAATCTCCTTTCCAGCAGCATCGTAGATATGACAATACAAGTCTTCAAAGGACACCTTAAATCCTTTTTCAATTAACTGGCCAACACTCAGTAGATTTTGATCAATATCGGGTATATAAAGAACATCTGAAATAGTTTTTGTACCTGAACTGGTTGTCATTGCAATGGTTCCTTTTCCTTTTGCAGCGATATAACCACCATTCCCTATCCTGACTTTAGTCATTGCAGAAGCCTTTAACTCCTTAAAAAGAGTTTTGTCAAAGGTCATATGGTTTGTACAACCACTGTCAATGAGCCAACTTTATGAGGAGACCTTTGTAGAGAAACACGTTGCCACAAACATCTGATCTTCTTCATCTTGATCAGCTACATGGACTTCTTCCTCTGGTTTCTGAGATTTGCTTTTGCAAATCACAGCTTCATGTCCAAGCTGATTGCACTTGCTACACTTTGCATTAGGCCTCTTCCAACACTTGAATGGGGAATGACCCATTTTGCCACAGAGTTCACAAGGCGGGAAATTTCTCCTTGAGCTTCCACCTTTGTTTCGAGTGCGACTGCTTGAACTACTCCTAGAACTTTCCTGTTGGTGTTTGACTGACAAGGCTCCTTCTACGGTACATTCTTGTCTCATAAGTCTCCTTTGTTCTTGAGCCTGCAAAGCATTCAATAGTTCTGCCAAGGTGACCTTGGACAGATCTTTAGTATTTTCCAAGGTGGTTATTGAGGCTTCACATTTTTCAGGCACCACAACAAGAATTTTGTCAACAATTCTTGAATCATCAAATTTAGTGCCAAGAAGCCTTACCTTGTTGGCAATGCCAAGCAATCTGTCTGAATATTCTTTGAGTGTCTCAGCATCTTTCATCTTTTGCAGCTCAAATCCCCTTATTAGATTGAGCGCTTGCATTCCCCGTATTCTTTCATCTCCTGCATATTCCGTTTTCAGATGCTCCCAGATTTCTTTTGCTGATTTGAGATTCATGATCTTCGTGAGAATTGTTGTTGAAACATCAACAAACAACGCTGTTTTGGCCTTTGATTTTCTGGTCTTCTTCTCTTTGTGGCTTTTCATCTGAGCTACCGTCGGATTGTTTGGCAGTGGAGCAACTTCGTAATCTTCTTCAATGGCTTCCCATAGATCCAAAGCCTCCAGATAAGTTTCCATTCTAACAGCCCAAAGTTGGTAATTTTCTCCATCAAAAATATGTGGAGTAGCTTGAGAAAAATTGGGGAAATCAGTTTTTGCTTCCATGGATACTCACGGGTCCCGTAAAAATGATGCTTTGATACCAATTGTTAGTTTTTGAGAAGAGAAGAAAAACAGAGAAAATGAAGAATAGAAATTGAATGAAATGAAAGAATAAAAGCAGGGAATGATAAAAGCTGATATGATGCAGCAAAAAGGAATTATCTTCATTCATTTTGGTGCATTACATTTATAGTAAGAATATCTGAACTGAAAAGATAATGAATCCCAAAAATTACGGTAACAACCAAGATTTCTGATAACACTAACAATATCCTAAAGAATAGGACTTATTGACTGGAAAAACAAATTCTAGTCATTGACTGAAACTAATCAAAGAAAACTTCAACGTGGCAGTCCTGAAGCAAATTATTAACATATATGAACATGTATAATGTTTTTTTTCTTTTCTTTTTGTGAGGAAAAAAAAAAAAAAAAATTGTAAATGTTATCAAACATAACTTAAGTAATTTTGTTGTTGAGTAAAATCTCAAACTTGAATCCTGTTGTTTTATTTTTTTTACAGGGATCGTTGAATGCTCTGAATACGCTTCTCAAGGAACCTATATCAATCAACCGTTTCAGACCCAAGTATATGTTTGGACCATATCTCAATACTTTATTGAAAGCATTTTGTTTCCAACAGCATGCATAACACTTTGCTTGAATGCATTAAGTAGGCTTCTCATGAAATGCAGCCAATTTCGTTCAATTGTCAGGAATACTGTACGGAAAAATGTTTCTTGAGAAAAATGGATTGAAGGAAAGGGAAGGAAAAGAAAATAGAAATGATTTATTATCCCATTAATTGTTTCGTTTACTGGAAAGTTTATGTAAAAAACAATGTAAAACTTTCCCACAATGCATAATCTTGAACTTTTTAAAGGATTTGGTCAGTTATGGTGGGACTTACATTTTCTTGTAACAATTAAACACATACATAAGGAAATTTATTTTTGTTTTCCTTTCCTTTCCTTTCCTGTCAATTGAATGCATTGTAAAAGGTTGATACAACTTTTTAGCAACAAAAAGGGATACAAGAAAAGGAATTCAGGTGCATTCTGTTTGTTTTCCCTTTTCTCTCTTGGTCGTCTTCATATGCAAATATGGATCATGGACTACTTTTTATGGTCATAATTTTAAAAAATTTCACATGAATGTCACAGTATCTTTGTTGATGGTTGTGAACCATTTGCTGAAGACCTATGGAAGGAGATCATGATAAACAAGTTCACATTTCATAGTGTCAGGTTATGCAGCCGCTGCAAGGTGAAAAAGCTATCCTGATGCCCTCTGCAAGATATAACTGACATATTTTCTTTAGCATATTAGTGTATCACCATATATATATATACACATCATAAATGTTCAGTTGGATTAGTTCATACCTGGATGAATAATTTATCCATTTGTTCCATCTAGATGTGTGTGCAGCCCTTCGTTGTATGGGGACTATTTAAACACAAATTAGACAAGTTGATGATCGAATTGACACATTTTGAAGTGTCAAGGATCAAAATGACTCAATGCATACTTTGAGGACCAATAATGTATTTAATGCTAAGATTTATAAGCTTCATTGTGGTTGTATAATAAATGAGAATTTGCTGATAATTTTTTTTTTAGGTGCCCACAATTAATCAAGAAACTGCGATCGGAAGCTCTGAGCCAACTGAAACTCTTGTGAAATTCCGGTCGGATAAAGTTCTGCGTCCAACTAAGAAACAGCATGGCAAGGTGAGACTCAAATATAAAAACTTCCATATGTTTTTATTTCATTCACTTGAAAGATTTATTAAAATTTAGATTCTAAATGATTTTATTTTTTTTGGCAGGTCTACTTTGGACAAAATTTGGTGTGCATGGACTCCACTGAAGGAAAAGGAAAGATCATCAAAGTGGGAGACCCTGTCTATGTCCACAAGGTGGTTCCTTCCTGTGCTGATGCAGCTGCTTAAACTTCTTTCCTTTTCTTTTTTCCCTTTTTCTTTTTGGTCGGAGGACCGAGATACAATAACAAGTAGCAGGTGGTACAAATATGAACCTTTGAAACTTTTTACACCCAACCTCTCATATGAGAGTGTTTGGGTGATGTCATCTGAACTACAAGTCAATGGCTTGTATGCTGTGTTAACAAGAAAACATGCATCTATGTTGCAGTAAATAAAAGAACTAGTGGGTTGATTGCTAATTTGTGTTGTCATATATACTTGCATTGCTTGAAAACCAAGAGTCCTGAGGAGGCTTCTAAGACATCCAGATGCATATGGTACAAGTTTATGTTCAAGAAACTCAAGCTTCTTGCTATTTAGTAGCCTAGTGGGTGAGAGCCCTTGCAGGGTTGGTGAGCAAAAGTGGTTCCATGGAGGTGATGCGGTTTTCATTCTCCTCTGATATTTTCTTCTGCTTGCTAGGACCTGGGTCTTTGCTATTGGCTTCTGCCTGCTAGGACTGGGGTCTGGCTATGGCGCTAGCTCATCTGAAAGAGCATTTGTAGTTTCTCCATGTGCAGTACCCTAAATTTGTTGGGCCCGTTGTCTAGCTCCCCAATTGGTAGCGATTTCTTTGGTCACGCATTGCTATAGTTGGTTAGCCTGATCCCAATCCCACCATCAAAGGTCCCAATGAGCAAAAACCGAAAGCGGTTTCCATTCTTGTCTGCTATCGGCTTCTGTCTGCTAGGACTTGGGTCAGGCTATGGCACTAGCTCATCTTGAAAGAGCACCCGCAGTTCCCTCTGTGCAATACCCGAGATTTGTTGGGCTCCCCATTTAGTAGTTAATTCTTTGGTCATGCATTGCTATTGTTGGTTGCTCCAGCCTGAGTCCAATCCCACCATCAAAGGTCCCAATGAGCAAAAACTGAGAGCCAAGATGGATGAGAACCGCATCACCCCTAACTCAAACCCAAAGCCACTTGCTCATCAAACCAAGTGGGAGTGAACTCCCATCCGCTAGGCTCAAGTAAGGCTTATGCCTTTGGTCCCATCCGAGTTTCCCTCTCCTTTGAAAGTTTGTACATCTGTATACATTTTTGTTCATAATAGATTCCCTTACTGAAGAATAAAAAATAGAACATTTTCTTGAAGGTTTTCTTAACATAAATATCTGTGTTTCTTCTTTCAAACCTCAATATCACTGTTGGCAATAATATCTTCTCCCTTTATAGAGAACAATGTAATAGGAAAACCATGGAGGTATCTTCAGGGATGCACTGATTATTAATCCAACATTACATCCAATTGCTCAATGAATTGAAATGACACATACTAAGAGGAAAAGGAAAAAGGTAAAAATTAAAATTAATTTATGCTCGGAATCTTAAAATCTACAAAAGAAAGAAATAAATAAAACCCAAAAGAAAAAAGAGATATACATTCCTACATCAAAGTCACAAAACTTCTTCTACAGCCTCGAGAGATCAATGTTTCATCCCCTCCTAGATTTTCTTTCATGAAACACTCGCTTTGCAAAGGAAAACCGCTCTAGTTCTACAAAAGAAGTACGTAAAAGTTAAATACTAGAAAGATCATATCCAGGATTTCCAAGCCTTGTGCATTTTATTTGAAAGATATCTAACTCCACGAACAGCACCAGCCGTCAGTAGACCAGAGACGGCTTGCCTGGCACTTGAAACCATTACCCTGTGCCTCACGATCTTCTGCATGCATTCTGCAGCTTCCTTTCTCGAACTGATTACAACTTCACGTGTAACTTGACCTGCAACACAACAATGAAATAACTGCAATCATCTCATTGCTTGAATTGGAAACAGAAACAAAGTCATTGCATCAATACTATTTTGGACTTCCACTCATGAGTTTCAAGGTATAATATTAGTAGTACAAAGACTACCAATGCATAGGATTGTGTTTTCTATTAATTCGCTCCTTATGACTTGAATACTATTCTATTCAATGCATATTTGCTGGATCAATCTTATATAGGTCAAGGATCATACCAGATTCACTCCGTTTTTTCTTTTCTCCCAACTTCAACGCCATCTCGCCTCTGACAGTCGGAGGAAGACAAGAAACAAGGGAGGAAGCTGCAGATAAACCACAATCCTGGTGTTGAGAGGTTGAAACATATCAGATATTTTGGACCCATTTTTTATAATGAACTTGATATGTCAGATACCATTTGAATGCTATAGTATGTAATTTTTCATTTAGGATAAGTTATGCCCAAGTACTAAAAAAATAATAATAAAACCATCCTAGAGGTTAAAAAAAAAGTCATCCTAGACGTAATAAAATATATTTAATTGCCAACATAATCTAGGCTTAATTAGTGTGGTCCTACCACATTAACTTGTATAATCTAGGCTTCTTTCTCATGTCCAAGACTGGTCAAAGTGGGGTAACCCAAGAGGCAAAACTGGGGCAACTTTGATGATCCCTCAACTTTAGCCACCAATCCACAAATCCCTGGTGATCCCGCACAGGGTCATGAGTTGCTGGGGCATCCATGATTGAGGCACCAACCCCAGGGGTACCTAGGCCCTGCTCCCAACCTAGGCAGTCTACGTAGCATTAGGGTGCTAGTCTTAAGTTGAATGGCGAGGGTATGATTTGTGGGGCCCAACCCCTTAGTGGATGCTGGCATGGCAAGTCATGTGGGACACATGTACCTACATCTTTATATAATAAACTAAGTGCTAGCTAAAAACATCTCCAATATAAATCATATAATACTGATGTTCATGCTAGCATTGCTTCATTATTAGTGGCAGATTGGACCGAAGGAATCAAAGGTTCTTACTTTCGTATACTTGCATTATAATTTATGGCCAATTTAATATGTCCATTAACAAGGAAATGAGAAAAGTAGCTTTGGTTTGAGAACTTGTAGGTATCCGAACAAACCTGAGAAAAATTTACTTGGTTACCAGCAGAAGAAGAGAATGTCAACAAATCCTTGGCTGCATATTCTTCTAGAAATGGCTTATACATTGTCTGGAACAATTCGAATTGTCCTTGTACAATCTTCTCCACCTGTAGTAAGTAATGTAGATGACAAACAGAAACTATAAGAACTGTAGAACTAATTATGGCCATTGGATCTCCTAAGGAGAGGTGATCATATCAGATGTTACGTCAAAATAATGCCTCTAAAACAAAGAAAGATACGAATTGAGACAAAAAATAGATGTGAAATCTAGACCTTACAACCATTTTATTGCAATTGTTAAAATTATCCAAGTTAACTTAAGAAAGGCACGTGTTTGCAATACAAACATATAATTGGTCGGCTGCCAGGCTGGAGAGTTTTCTTTATAAGCAATCTACAAGTTCAGGCCGTTCAGCCTTTTGATTTCTAGAAACGAAAGGAACCTGTCTTCCATGATATTCACCACATATATTCTAGTATCGGAAAGCATGAAACCTTACTATCTAAAGCCACAATTTATCTCCGCTCCTTAAATGTATGTATGCTGTGATAATGCTACAATTTACTTCCCCCTCCTAAGATCTATGCAAGTTGAAATAGACTCACCTTATTTTTGTCCTCTGCAAAAAGCATACGCAAGTCCCCCATGTACGAGAGACTACATATCTTGGCATATAGATTTTCCTGCATAAACTAACAAACATTATCTAAAAGTAATATATGTATATATATTGTAATTCTAAAATCATTGAGAAAGGCAAAGAAGCAAACCTCGGAGAATTTGGACGGAGAAAGCAGCAGAGCAGCAGAGGTTGCAGCCCTCAAATTAACAGAGTTTAAATTTCCCATTGCCAAGTTATCCACAAGTATATGAACCTCGAGGAAGGGAAAAGAGAAGGAAAAAAGAAGATTTGAGATGTTTATGGAGCTAGACATGAAAGCAATGAATGAAACTGCTACCACATTTGTGGATACAGGACACTATTATTAACTGGCTCAGAAACGAAGTGTTAAAGAGTATAGGTTAGGGTTTTTGTTTGGCAACAGCTAAAAACATCACATTTTTTTAGGATTTTTTTTTTGGGTCTTTAGTGATTTTTTATTCTTTTTTAAAAAAAAATTTGGGTCAAAATTTATTTTTCAAGTCCGCCTAAGAATCTAAAAAGTTTTTTTTTTTTTTAAATCCAAAAAAGTTCACTAAAGACAAACTTTGTTGGTCTTCTTTTTTTCCTCTTGGTGGACTTTCTGCACAAAAAAATATATGCATATACTAGGTAGGTAGGCCTGTGCAAGGCATGGGCGAATCAGCCATTTATTTATTTATTTTTATTAAAAAAATTTATTTTATTTTATTTTAAGGTAGTGTTTGTTTGATGGAAGAAAAATATAGCGGAACAATCATTTGGTAGAGGTTAAAGAAGAATGATTTTATTTTATTTCAATGATAGAGGTTAAAAAATAATGATTATTTGGTGTGTACTATGGCATTATCCATATGTATACATTTATCTCTCTCCGTCTCAATTTGTTGGTCCCTTTTAGAGATTTCAACTTTGTAAGGGGGGCATGCAATCATTACACTTAAATCTAAATTTCAAAATATTTTTCCTCTAATGTCCTTATCTTTTCAAATTTTTAATATATTTATAATTACTCAAAAGGGGTAGTTTTGGAAAATCAAATGTTTTTTACTTTGAGATTTTTTCTTAATATTTTTTTTCTCCCCCTGTGAGAGTTTGTATGATGTCACGTGTAAATAAAATTTCCCATATTTTTTCCTTTTTTTCTCTAATTGTTGGATAAAAAGGCCTCTTATTTTTCAAAAATAGCATGAAATTCTTTTAAACAATTCAAAATATATCCGATTAATTTGAATTTTTCTTTTATAAATGATATGCTCAACAAACCCTACAATATGAACGTTTGATTTGTTTAATCTTCTACTCTATTCAATTCCGAGAAGAAAAATCTTATTTTGGGATAACAATATCAAATAATACTTAATTAATTGAAATAAATGGCAAATATCATAAAATTTAGTGAAATAGAACGAAATTATTAACTTTTAAAAGTTTATATCCGAACACCATTTGTTATGTGTACTGAGAGTTTGTACAGTGTATAAATATAATTACCCAAAAATGATACCTTTGTGAAAGTTGATTTTCCAAAATAACCCTCAAAACTCCACCCAATAAAAAAAAATTAAAAAAAAAGAAAGAAAGAAAGAAACGAAAAAAAAAAAAAATGGCAAAATGGAGAATTAAAAAAAAAAGCCAAGGACAAAATAGGAAATTCAAAACCCTTACATAATTGACCTAAAACCCTTCATTCAAGGTCATTCCCCCAACTAATAAAGGACAAAATAGAAGATAGAAATACAAGTTAAGGGCAAAATAAGAAAAAAAAAGTACATGCCACCAAAATGAAAGAGATTCTTATATATTATATATAGATATACTTTTGAGGTCTATCTAATCTAGTAGAACCTAAAGTGGAAAAAAGGAAAAAAAAAGCCAACAAAAAAACTGCTATAAAAGCAATTCTCAAACCCAATAAGGAGAATTGAGCATGTTGGTGTCTGGAGACCCTTTTATGATTGATGCAAAGTTTTGTTTTGTTATCTTTAAAGATTTAGGACTAGAATAGATAAATATAAACTATAAAAAGATAATAAACGTAAAGATGAGAAAAAGCACTCATAGGGAAGACTTACAGGTTTTTGTAAACGACCACTCAAATAGAACCTCTCCCAATTCAGTACATCCCGAACCAAGTCATCCATTCGAACAACTCCGTACTTGAACATCTGTCAAACAATGCTTAAAGGTGAAAGATTTCCAAGAGATACTCCGCATTCATACATGAGCACCATGAATAGAAATGGTTAAATGCTCAGCACCTTGTCCTCCCAAGTAACAAATGGGTTGAAGTGCACTCCAACACCAATTTCATCCGCAACTTCAGTAATCTGACATAACCAACCAAATAAAAAAATATTAGCAAAACCATTTTCTTTTACAAGGGGAAAAAAATGAAAGAAAGTGAAACATCAGAGCGGGGGATGAGGAGAGAAAGAAAGGCACCAGCTTTGCCCCACCGAGGTGTACCATCCATGAGGCATAGTGATCACGGTTCATTTTCAGATTCTTGGTTGCAAAAGAAAGGAAATTAAAATCTATGAGAATCTTCTCTTCTCTGCAGAAGAGGTAAAACGTAAAACACTGAAAAAAAAATAAAACAGAAAAGTAAAGGAAAGGAAACGGAAGGGGTTGCAATTCAACACTTACCTCAGTATGCCATTGCAGAGGATTAGACACACCAAGAATGTAATCTACCATTGATGACTACAGTTTTTTTTTTTTTTGAGAAAAACAAAAGAAGAAAAAAGACAACAAAATGCAAGCAGTAGAAAGATAAACAAATCAATCTAAAACCCAAAGACAAACAAATCTCAATAACAACTTTAAAAAGGGTGAAGAAAAATATCAACCTTGTCGCTATTATTTGGATGGAGGGCTGAGCCATAAACACAGCAGAACTCTACAGGGGGAAGAACTTTGAGCAGACGTACAAGCTCAGCTTTCTTTTCTGTTTCCATTGCTACACCTGCATCCAAACAGGTTATAATTACACACAGCAAAATTAGTTGGTGGAGTGAAAGTTCTGTAGCTGAAATATTTGCACACAATTAATCAACACTAGAAGCACATTTTGGACGACACCAGCACAGACAAGCAAATGTGGAACTCTAGCAACACCTTAAGATCAGAATAAATAATAACATCAAAAAATGCATAAAGTAAACAACATGTTACTTTGAAACTGAAAGTAGCAATATAGAACCTATACATCTCACCAAGAAGCATGGACGTGGGTAGGGACACGGGAAACTGCAATTTTGAAAAATTGAAGACACAAATACAGTGGGGTGGGGATACGAAAAAAAAATATTTTTATATATTTTTAAATTTAGGGCAAAGAGATGCAAGAGGTATCAAAGTATATGTGGGTGTATTTTTTTTTTTATCCCCTTTTCCTACCTCTTTGTTTTCAAATATTTTACTTTACCCTAAATCAGCTTTCTAAAATTATAAAAAAGGAAAACTCACAAAAGTGTCCAAGATAGGTGTGTCGGTGAAGTCCCCAAAGTGTCATGCAAAGTAATGACTAAGAAAATTGACACGCGTGTCCCCTCGTGTTGGTGTCTCCGTCTCGTACATGTCCAACACGAACACGGACACGACACCCATTTTGAAGTGTTGGTGCTTCCTAGCATCTGACTATACTGAATAATATCAAAATGATTTTTTGTGTATTGAAAAAATTGCAATTAACCAAATATATCAAAGCCAGATAATCAAAAGGTTCATAGCACCACAACATTCCAGAGCTCTAAACCCAAATGGGCTTATGGGACAAACTACCATTCAAATCTTTGGTAGAAATGAACAAGCTCATCAATGATAATAAATCAAACAATATTCCAACATTAGTGTCTTCTACTTTCTCTCTTCTACAACCTTTTCCATCACTAAAATCCTTTATTCTAAGAAATTTGATAAGCCTAATCTGTAATGGGAAAAGCAAATATGTTCCTGAACTCTATTCAAACAAAAATATATATATATTAAAAAATAAAGTCTTTGATACATTTCATCAAACAACTAGTGGGCATCAAATTAATTGAAAGTTTGAAACAAAAAAGAGAGTTCCAAGCAATGTGAATACTGTAAAAGCTGCTTCAAAGTACCTGAGTTATGTCTACCGTAGTCTTCAGCTTCGTTAGATAGAGAGATAGATAGAGAGAGAGAGAGAGAGAGAGAGAGAGAGAGAGAGAGAGAGACGGCTTCTGTTGTTTCAGCGGAGAGAGAGACGAGAAGGTTTTTTGTCGAGAGGATAGGCCACCGTATTAACAAAGGGTTAATTACACAATACTCCTCAATTATTCTCTCATTTATGAATTATACATATTGATGCGCATGGTAAATCGATACCAAACTACTACTTTCGCTTTTATGAAATTTAAAATCAAACTGAGTTATAAAACTTTTGGAATTAAAATGAAAATGTATTTTGGTTGGGTTTAAAATTAAAATTTTCATAAATATTGTTATCATTCATAATATAATCACAATATACTCAAACGTCAAATAATATGTCATCATTTTATAAACAATGATGTATATTGTTTAGGGAATGGTTAAAATAAGAAGTTATTGATTGATTCAGGAATAGCATCACATGACACTTTATATACATTGTGATTGGTGGAGGGAATGAGACTCACGATTTGTATTGGGTGATTGTTGATACCATATTTTGTATCGATTTTGGCCTGTTAATAAGCCAAAACTAATCTAATTAGTTATGGCCTGCCAATTATGGCGAAATCCAATTTTATTGATGGTGGCTTATTAATCATGGCCAAATCTAATCTCATTAATTGTGGCCTGTTGATTTTGGTCCGTTGATTTAGATTATAAATTATTTTTAACATAAAATTATGACCACAAATATTTATATTGTATATTATTATTTTTTGTGTGTAGGTAAATCTTATTCAAACCATCAGGTGGGTCATGGCATCACAAAAGGAGAAATAGTAATGTACATAAAAAATTGTGGCTAACATGGATTAATCGAAGTGAGTTCGGATCCTCAGCTACCTTATCCTGTGGCGGTCCTTGCGACGGTCCAAAACGACGTCGTTTTGGGGCAAAATTTAAAATAAAAAAAACCCCCGCAGAATCAGAGAAGAGAAAGAGGGGAAGAAGAAAGAACAGAGGAAGAGAAAGAGGAGAAGAAGAACCTCTTCGGGATCCATGATGTTCTTTCTTATTATTTGTCCCAACAAAAATACACACACACATACACATATATATAGGTAGGTTGGCAGGAATTTATACTGTATCCTTTTCACTCTCTTATTGCTTTGAAGATGGACTATGTATTACAACAGCAAAACTTTTGCATAATATATAAAGAGAGAAAGTTGTAGAGAGAGAGAGACAGAGAAAGTAAAAAAAAAAGGAAGGATTGAGATCCAATATGGAAATCAGAGGTGAATAGGGAAGGCCAATATAAAAGTGGGGGATTATTTCAGATCTGGGAATGGATTTGTGAAACACCGTAGGGGTCGCCGTCGTCGCCACTCTTGGTCGCCGGTTTCCATCTATTGCCGTCTTCCACTCTCTGTCATCATCTCTCAGATCTGGGTTTCAGATTTGGGAATAGACGGGCAAAAGAGAAATGCGAAAAGGATAAAAAAAAGAAAAAGAAAAAAACAAACAAACAAACAAAGTGCCAAAACAACTCTAGTTCTGTGTTTTTATTTCGCCGACAAAAGAGAAAGAATAGGGGCTCTGTTTGAAGAGGTGCTTTTCTTCTCCTCTCTCTCTTCCTCAGTGCTTTCTTCTTCCCTTTTTTCTCTTCTCTGATTCTGTGTTTTTTTTTTTTGGTTGAAATTTTGCCCCAAAACGACGTCGTTTTGGAGGGCCACAAGGACTGCCGCAGGATAAGGCGGCTGAGGATTTGGACTTTGATGGAAGTTACACAAGAAAGTGGTGTAGAAGTTAATGGAGGTTACACTTGATCTCCTCTCTCATGTGCCATATCACATGCATAGAAGAAGAAAATTGCCAAAGGCAGTTGTTAAACGTAAACAGTGGGTTTGGCCTATAAAAAGGTCAAGGAAATACAAGCAAAAGGGACCCAAACATCAAACTCATCAGAGTCCTTAATTTAAGAGTAGTCTACCTTAATTTAGGAGTAGATTATTTTACTTTAGGAGTAGATTAGCAGTTAGTTCTTGTAACCCTTTTGTCGATTGTGTAACAAAGATTGTGCTTGTTGTTTGATTAATACAATTGAGTGACAAATTTCAATTTTATTATCAATTTCAGTGTGTCTATGCTTTGTTTCTTTACATTATAACCTCTAAAAAAGTCCTTAAATTTGTCAAGGCATAAGACACCAACCACAATTACTTGATCTATTATTGTGCGTGAAATTTTAGTTATTCTGTCGAATCTCCTTTGTTGATTTGACCCAAACCAAATTTTTGCTAATAGTGATTGAAGAACCTAAGGAGATATAATGATTTGTGATTGGTGAAGTGCAGCGCCACGTGGCACTCTAAGACGAACCAATAAATTTCCGGTTAAAATAGTCAAAAAATACTACAACTTGTCACAATATTCTCTTTATTTTTTTAAATTTCTTTTCATGAAAAGCTAAAAAAATAACTAAAATAATCAATTCCCAGACAAATAATTTCAAACTTCTTAGTTTTACTAAAAAGAAGTTCATTTAATTCTGTGAAAATGTGTAAAACCAATTATATTTTTCCAAATCCCAAAAAAAATAAGTTTAATTTGTCGTAATATTTGTTTAGTATTTTCCAAAAGAATAAACTGTTTTTCAATAATTTCATGCTAAAAGAATTTGGGCCCTTAAGTTTATTACGAGTCAGTTAAATTTTTAGGATTTCATATGCAGATCATCATGAAAAAATTTAAATTGTTTTAATAAATGTAACCACATAATTTTATCATATTTATCTTCACCTATTTTTTTAAAGACAAATATAATTGAGTCTTTAATTTGATTTTTAATAGATATTCTGCAGATAAAAATTTAAATAATTAACTAATCAAATTATTGAAGTATAGCCCATTATGAACGGGAAGATCCTACTGTCGTGAGGACTTGATTGAAAACATTAACATGAATAACAAAAATAATTATCACAGAAACTTGTACGGAGGTGTAGAAAAAACATTCCATCAATCCATTAATCAACATATTAAAATATAATTAAAAAAAAAAAAAATCTATTGGCTTGAATTCAACGAATAAAAGAGCATGAAAAACCTACATAATCTATTACCACTCTCTGTTCCTCAATCAAAAAAACCTAAATATTTGTAATTGTAAAAGATTGGTATCAACGGTTGTAATGACAATTAACTTCCCTTGGGACATTCAATCTTCTCAGAACCTTTGGGACTATTTTCATTCATCGCTCCCCTTCTATTCAGTACACGTTTTTTCTCTAGTAATTTTTTAAATAACACGTCCACCGTTAAATTTGTAGCCTTATTTTCTTTACCTACTTTTTCATGCTCACCTTCGTCTACATCAAAATCAGAGATAAGAGCATAAAGCTCCATCCCTATACATTGAGCCGGTGTCATTGAGAAACATAGATCACGAATGAAATCTTCACTTGGTACCCACTTAGAAGCCATGAAAATTAAGTTCAATATTTTGTTAGAAACAGTTTTGTAACTCTCTGTATGAAATATATTTAATATATAGTAGAAATCAATTTACCTACTAACACTTCCATAGGATTTGGAGATCTAATCCAAGTTGAACAGGAATTAGATTTAATCAAATTTTTCATTTTTAATTTAACCACACAAAAAAAAAAAAAAGGAAAAAAAAAGAGAGTAGGACATTAGGAATTGTATTTTGTTTGGAATAGTATTGGAGAAAGATTTAATAAAAACATTTTTTGTATGGGGTTGAATTGAGGACTCCCACTTCAAAACAAAAAAGTCCTTCAACATGGTTCTTAATTACAAAAAATAAAATAAATCATCATATTATTATAAGAAAATAAATTCCATATATTTTGTAAGATTACAATGTTCCTTTAATTCGCTAGTTTAGAATTTTTTTGTCATATTTTTAATTTTTAAAAATTGAGTAATAAATTTCTATTAAAATAAATATTGTAAGATTTTGACTTGCACCCACTCAAAGTTAGGATATTTAATTTTTGATCATTTGTTTGTTTGGTATTTATCTCATCATGAATATTGTCTTTGTAAAAAATATTTCAACCAGTGTTGGATTTATTTTTAGCATCATCCAGACTTAATTTTGTTATTTTAGAGTGCGTTAAGTTTTTTATTTTTTATTTTTTAGGTGATTTTCTTGTTTGATTTTGTCTTACTTAAAAGGAATTTGTAATAAAATCTCACTTTGATCATTTTATTTTTAATTTTCATCAGTCTCATTAATAATAGATAAATGAAATAATGACATTATAAAAACTTGAAGTATAGTGCCTTAATAACAGTAGATAAACGAAAAGATGACATTATAACTTGAATTAAAATGTTAAGATTTCACTAGCCTTGTTAACATCATATAGACACTAGAATGACATTGCAATTCGACTTACGCTGTAACTGAATCATGTATTTGGATAGAATTTGAAAAAGAAAAGAAAAAGAAAAATATAAATGAAATGTAATTATATTATATTCATATTTTATCTACCTTTTCTATTTTCTTTTTCAAATCCTTACCCGAATCAATAATCCAAACACAACCTTGAAGTTGACTCTTTCAAGTGAAAATAAAAAGGCCAAAACTACATTTTAGTTGAAGTACAAAGATACTAAGTGTAATTAACCCATATGTAATTGACTTAAGCATCATATCATATGCAATTAATTTCTCATTTGCTCTAACAGACAATTGATCTTTTTAGTAACTTTCTTATTTGACTGCAAGAATGAGGAACACAAATTACAGACAGAACATCTAATGTTATGTCTTAGAATATCACAGAATGAATATCTTTCTTTTCTTTCCAACATCATCATATCAGTATGTATTGAGCAGCATTACAGAAAATACAAGGTTATTAGCAAATCAAATTTCAGAAGCCAGCCATGCCTGTGCAGCCACAAGGTCAGGGAGAACAGGCGCGCCAGACTTCCTCCAATTATCGGCATCAGGAGTCTTAAATCTGTCCAACAACAGGGCGTGCATCCCCGAGCTCTTTGCAGGCAAATAGTCCTTGCGCATGCTGTCTCCGATGTGTAATGCCTCTTCTGGTGCAATATTTCCAGCCCTCTCCAATGCAATCTCGTAAAACCTTGGGTCCGGCTTTTCTACACCTTCAAGGCCAGAGAACAAGCCAAAATCCCACTCCAATCCCTGAATACATAAACCATGAATTTATGAATTTATGGTCACTAATGAAGCATCGACACCTTTCTAGAGGTCACGTACTGGTGTTTGACATAGGGCCGACTGTGAGTTTTTCAGAGCCTAAAGCAAACTCCCAATATGGGAATTTTCATACATACTATAAAATAAAAAAACTGTGATCAAAATAATATGTATCCATTTTATATATTTATTTATTTATTGTATTTGACAATGCCCACAAAAAGGTCTAGTTCCATATATATCTATTAAAATTTACTTAAATATGTAACAAAGTTTACTTAAATATGTAACAAAGTTTACAATAAGAAAAATGACCAAAATAATCCAAATTCTGAAGTACCAAATAAAAAGTAAACAAATTGTAAGAAAATATCACTTAAGTATCACCCTTCTCATATATCTAGCTGCAAAATTACTAATCAAATTTTCCATTATATACTTGAATATTTACCTCATTCAAACCCAACGCTGGTAGAATCACATCCTTGTACCGATACTCGGCGTTGCTAACTAACCCCACTTTGAGACCGTTCTCATGAACCCATCTTAGGAATGGTTGAGAATCTGGAAAGACTGTGTAAGGTGCAGCTGAACCAAAGGATGAGTATATGCGCCTGAATATCTTCTCAAATGTCTCCTCATCATAATCATACCCTGCCTGTCAATAAATAAGATCAATAATAATAAGAAATTTTAAGGGATTCATGAACCCCACTAACAAACCTTGTAAAATTTTATCTATTCATATGTATCCAGTGTTCAGTTCTATGACCAGTTTGTATGTTTATAGCAGAACTGAAATCGGTTTGAATGCTTCCTATAATGTGACATAATATCCAAATAATTGGGGAAAAGGTGAGAATGCAAGAAGCCACTGCCAAATAATGCATGATGAAGTAATGTATCTCACCCTGACAAAGGAGTCTCTCACACAAGTCTTCCACCACACAATGTTGGGCATTTTGGCTGCATGACCAAAACATGGATACTTCTTTGCCATGTTTGAGTATGCAAGTTTAAAGCCGTCATGAACACGTTTGTAATCAGGACAAGGCAATCCAACAGATTTGGCTGCCATGCAATAGTAGTCTCCAAGCTCCCCTTTGTAAGCAATGAGTGTACCAGTAACATCCAATGTGATACAACGTAACTTTGATAATAGAGCCATCTCTGAAGATGATTTCACTGCAGTTTCTAGGCGTACAAGTACACAAATACCACTTCGATATCACTTAATTTAGGTTCTTGAGGAGGATCACAAGCGCACTAACTGATCTGCATTTAAATATTTCAATCATCCTAGTCATAAAAATACATTGCATTTTCTGGGATAAAAGTAGAAGCCTATAATGGCACAACTGCATTTGTAGTCATCTTAAAACAATTACATAAGCAACACAAACCCAAAAAAATATGCTGCACAAATCTATTGCATAGTGGTGTGAGCAGTCAAATTGACTCAACATTTTACAGTTTCAAAAAAAATCAACCTATTTCATCCAATAAGGGAAAAAGAAAAAAGGAAAAAGAGAAGGCGTAGTTTGATGGATTGAAGGTTACAAAAATATTAGGATTGAACCCTTAACTAATATCAAGTTCTGAACCCATTCTTATTTCCAAAACCAATTAGTTCTCCCATTTCAAATTCTTAGCACTCCTTGTAATTTTGCAAAGGGCAACTTTCACTTTACCCCATTGTGGTATAGGCCGTGTGCACATCACCCCCCTCTCATTGGAAATAGTAATCCCATGTAGTTCACAAACCTAGGTCAAGTGGTAGGGCATAGGTATGCTAAAGCATTCAGTGTGCATTGCAAGACTCAGATCCTGTGGCTCAGAATGGAGGCTTTGTTGTGGAACTATGCCCCGTGTGGGTCAAAGATGCCTTAAGCCAGTTCTAAGGAGAGAGAGAGAAAGAGACCTTGCAATTGAACCCACCAAAATCAAGACATAATCCAAACAGCCTTACTACGTTATTCCAAACCCTGAAAAATTCCCTAACATTTCAAAACCAAGGGTAGTTTGATGAATGATTTACATTTCAATTGAGATGAGCCATGTAAAAATTGAGTTTCATGACAAATCTAATTATTATTTGCGTGAAAGTAACTGAGATGAGAGAGTAACACAAATTCTAGAGCTAATCCACAGAAATGTCAAACTTCAGGTATTAGAAGCTCTCATTCCCACCAAATTTGCCATTTACAAGCTGCTGACAACTAAATAAAGCATGCCCAACAGCCAAAATTGCTCATAAAACATAAAATCTAATTTAAAGAAAAAATTCATGACCTTTTTTTTGGCAAAGGTAAATCAGAAGTCAATATCAAATAGACCAATCAATCAGAAGCCAATAACATGAAATTAATTAATCTCAATACATGTGAGATCACAATGCAGAAAGTCACAAAAACAAGAAAATGGAATTTATAGAAATCTGTTCATTTCACAACAAAACTTGCAGAAGATTTAAGCAGTGAAAGAAACGGCAAAATATCAGATTGAAAGCATTTGAACACAGACAGAGAAAGAGTGAAAAACAAAATGAGGGCTGTCTGATCAGATTCTTGCTTGAATGAAGTTGAATTCTAACAATTCCAAACAGGAGAAAAGATCAACAAAAAAAGAAAAGAAAAAAAACCCATTAAAGAAAAGAGGGATTAAGAACATACCCAGAAGCTCAAAGTGATGGGAATCTGGTTTGCATCGGCAAAATCGACATTGGAGTAGATGATGTTAGCTTGAGCTGCACATTTTATGGGGACCCAAACTCGTGTAAATCCTTCAACTTGCAGTCCCTTTCCCATTAATATTACTTGCGGATTATTGTTTGCACTGAGGTCCTTATACTTGTAATGATTCGAGTTTTTCTACCCCATTTTTCAACTTTATATTCTTTTCTGTTTTGTTTAAAAAAAAAAACTTATCTAAAACCCAATTTGAATATAAATTTGTTTATTTTAAACTAAAAACAAATAAATTAAAATTTAGTTTTAAGTATAATATAAATTATATTTTATACATTATATAGGATATAGAAGTTGGGTTTGATTTGCCTTGAGCCCTTTGCCAAAGTTTAGCCTAAATTTTAATTTGACCAAATTATTTTAGATCTATTTAATATAGTATATCCCACAAATTTTAAGTGAAATACTTTTTTGCATTGAAAAAAAGTTAAACACAAGACTTGTAAAAATGATCCATAATGGAGCTACCAGCTAGCTTGTTAAAATAATGAACAAGAAATGCTAGAACTCAACAAATTTGTGTGACAAATAAAATAAACATTTTCTATAAAGAACATGACTGACAATAACACGGAAGGAACGGGGAAGAGAGAAATTCAAAGTTTATACAAGGACATAGTAGCAATAAACCAGAAGCTAAAGGGTAAAAAAGAAAAAAGAAAAATGGAAGAAAACCGTGGACCCTTTGCCTGTGGTTTCAAGAGTAGATGGGTTTGTATTGTATTACATCCTTCACTTTTTTGAAGCCCACAAAGGAGAGAGCAGTGTGGATTGCGTGGGCCCACAAATCTCGGCCCGTTTACATCTCTTCTTTCTTTCCGGTTCTGTTTTTAACGTTGTTGTCATGTGATGATGTAGCATCAACAACACACACCAAACGTCGAAGCATTCAAATTTCAAAGTCAAATCAAATCATCCCCATAAATAAATAAAATAAACATCTCGATTTTTTTATATAATTCAAAAAAAATGTTCTCAAAATATTTACCTTTTTTTTCATCTAACAAAAAAAAAAAAATCAAAAAATTACTGAAAAAGGTTAATTCTTAAATGAGGTCCTAGGCTCTTTGGAATTCTGATATGTAGAGTCACCATTGGGATTTGGAGTTAAGTAAAAGAAAAGTGTATTGTTGAGATTTTTGTAAAATCTTGTATATATTTTTTTGGTAAGATATTTTTGAGATTGAGCATAAGAATCTGTCAACCGAATATGAAACTTCATTTTTTAAGAATCTTCTTTCCTTTCCCTGGTATACCCCTTGTGGGAGGAATTGTTTTAGTCCCAGCTCCCAGATGAGAAGAAGGAAACCCAAAGAACTTCCTATTTTTTTAATTTCTTCAGTAGGCTTGGAAAAGTCGTGGAGTGCATAAGATCCTGACAAGAGGGGCGGCTGAACTGAAGACTTTTCCCACGGTGGAGTCACCATTGACTCTATTTATTATTATTGTAAATCAATGTATCAAGATGTCGATCTTATTTTGGTTTTGTTTTAAAAGAAAACTTGTCTGGATGAAAATGTAATTGGCTTATGTATCTGTTAGACGACAATTTTTTAAGTAATTGATTTGTCCAATTTAATCTAGATTGAAAATTTAGGCTAAAGAATATTTAAAATATTGTTTTCTTTTTAGCACATTAAAAATTCAATATAAATTAAAAAATGACTCGAATAATGCCTGGGAAAATGAAGCAAAACTTGATTTTAAAGCAAAAATTCTCAAAATCATTTAAAGATAAAGCATGTTAACAGAAGAATTGGACCAAACAGATAATCCAAGAAAGCTGCAAATAAACCATAAAGGGTTTCAATACATGAATAAGAAAAGTTCACTGCTTCTAACATAAGGGCAAATTACATATACATCCCTTGAGATTTGGCTAAATTACAGATACCCCCCTAAGGTTTCAGAAATTACATCCCGCCCCCTGAGGTTTGTATTTTCATAACAATTTGCCCCCTGAGGTTTAAATTTCATAACAAATTACCCCCTAATTTGTTATGCAAATATAGCATTCAGGGGGGAATTTGTAATTTCTCAAACCTCAGGGGGGTATTTGTAATTTAGCCAAACCTCGAGGGGGGTATATGTAATTTGCCCTAAAAATAACAATTGTATCAGATCAACACATCATATGTCTTTGTAAGATCTCAAACTAGTCGAGAAACATAGGTCTGAATCAAGAAAACAGTAATTCATGATGCCTCCGCGGCAGGTTGGGTCAACCCAAAGCTCACCAACAACTTACTAAGAGATTCCGGAGAGCTAACCTGGTACTTCACTTTCACCGAAGAGAGGGAAACCTCAGCCAGTTCAAGCTTATCCGAAGTAAGACTCGTGCTGTCCATAGTCTTACTGAGCACCTTCAGCACAAGCTGTACCGCCTCTTCTCTTGTGATATCATCCTTGTAATCCTGTTTAAGTATCGACTGCGCAGCCTGGTTGTTAGCACCGATCGCTGCAGCCTTCCAACCACCATAGTTCCCACTCGGGTCGCTCATGTAAAGCTGAAACCTGTAGTTCTTATCCCATCCTGCAAACAAAAATGATACATCAAATGGTCGAAGCCCGCCAAATTGTGTGTATCCTTGTTTGGTGTCACATAGAGATTGAACCAGCTGTTCAACTGGCATTGGTTCTTGGTAAGCATACGTGTAGCGCTGAGCTTGGACCCAGGCTGTGTTGATGACGATGTTGGCATCGGACATGATTCCAGCCACGGCACATGCAACATGGTCGTCGATCTTGTACATTTTCTCGGTGGATGTTGAGGTCTGTAGGAGTTTGGAAGTGACTATCTTTTCTCCAACCAGTACAACCCCATCTTTTGATAGTATCCCTATGGCAGTCCTAGCATTTCCAATTGCTTCCATTGCATATTCAACCTGGTACAGACGACCTTATAGAGAGAAGATTATTGTACGGCTGTCATACCTTCGAGACATCTAACATATGATAGAAGAGTGGAATCTCAATAGATTAGTCAGACAGAAAAAAAAAAATAGTGTGTCATTGAAGATTTATTTTATAGATACAGGATAATATGGATTCCATGTACTGAATTCCATAGCAACCAAGCAGAAATGAAGGGTGGAAGAACTATTATTTAAAATGTTTTGAGAGTGTATCTAATATATTCTTTTCTTTATGATGAGAGTGCCCTCTTCTAGAGAAAATATTAGATTATCCTCTTTCAATGGAAACTTAAACTGCTTAATAAGACTATTGTATTGACCATTGAAGTAACTAAGTTTAAATTAAAGGAGGGCCTGTTTGATCAAGCTGAAATTTTTTAGCATTGAATTTCTAGTTCTGGAAAAAAATTTGAATTGAAAATTTTAAGATAAATGTCAGTTTGGAAGTGTAAAATTTTGCAGAACATGAGTACAAACATTATACGACTAATCAGAATTCATGGAAGTTATGCCACTATATTGTTTGTCATCTCATCAAAAAGAATACTCAAGCTGCCACTGTGGACATCTTTTTATGTCATCCTGCTCTCTGCAGAGTCCATCTTTTTAAGTCTACCAACAGTAGGGGAGGATGAAAGTTGGAAAGTGAGTTTATAACCAAAAACAGAGAAGTACACAAGCAAGAAAGGCGTACTTTCCATTACAAGAGAAGGAAAAACTCTACAATCATTCAAAATAAATCTAAGAGTTAATACTCAAAAACATATAAGGGAATTGTCCAAATTCTACAAATCGAAATATTAGAAGCACAAGGCTTGACTCCATGAAGCAGAGAAGATTTAATCCTAACATCATACTCCCTCTGTCCCAAAATAATGGTCCCTTTTGGGGAATTCAACTTTTTTTAGTAGTACAATTGTTGCACTTTAAAAAAATTGATTTTTCAAAATTACCCTTTTGATAGTATATTTTTTAGAAATATCAATGTCATAATTGTACTTTTTATTTTGTTTATTAATTTTAAAAAAGGGCAAAATAGAAAATTTATATTATTTTTGTACTTGATTTTTGAAGAGGGACTAATATTTTAGGACAATGGAAAATGAAATAAGGGACTAATATTTTGAGAGAGAGGGAGTATTTGATTTGTTGCAAAACTTAGGCCGGGGAGGATGAAAGTTGAAAAAAGTTAGTTGGCAAGGGCATATGTTTTAACAGATGGAAAATTAAAGGAAATAAAAGCGACTATTGAAGGATAAAAATAGAATTGGAAAACACAATTTTGTTCCATTCTTTATCATCTCCATTTTGAGATCATATACAAAGAATCCAATTGAAAATACAAAAACCAGATTTCTAGTTATTCCTTAAAGTGGCAATGATATGAATGATTTTACTAAGGAAAAAAAATGACCTTAGCAGGATGAAAAAGAGGAAGAAAAAAAGCAGAAGAAAGAAAGAAATAAAGGGGTTAAGCAACTTCTATACTGACTGAAAACACCAGGAGAAAAAAAAAATGAAAAATCTGACAAAATTATAATGATTAAACTCATAAAGCAAACTTTTAGACCTCAATTGAAGCTAATGGCTAATAAAACTTAATACCATAAGCCAATTTAGGACTGTTCGACAGGACAACTGAATACTATAAGATATGTTCCGATATGAATAAAAATCCTAATCTAGTGTTTGAAAGTTTGGTTCTTTTAAGCACATTTCTTTATCTATTTATTTATTTTGTGGACACAAACAGAAACTAGTGACAATTTTTTTAGAAATAATAATTTCGTATCATGTAATCTTAACAAATTTATTTATTTATTATAAAAAGAAGAAAATTACAACACTATCCTCTAGCAATGATCTTTACCCAACACTACCCAAAAAAAAAAAACTCTCGACTACGTGGTCATGCCAATCATCGTCAATTTTCAACAAATTTAAGAGAAGATCTCAAAAGGGTTTTAAACCAAAAAAAAAAAAAAAACCTATAGGGCAAATTTCACTTTAGTTACTCCCTTGTGGTTTGGCCTATGTGCACATAACTGTTGTCATTTGAAAATAAGCACATAATCCTGTGTGATTTGTAAACTGAGGTCCATTGTTAAGTCCGGTAATGGCTTAAGCAAAATAACTAAAATACCCTTGTAGATAAGTAGCTTCATTATATAAACCAGAGACATTTTTGTTATTTTTTAAGAGGCAAAATTCACTTTGCTTCATGTGTGGGGTTTATCCCAGACATTTGGAAATGAACACATAATTCATTTTAAGTCCTGGCATGTGCTTTACATGTGCTGTTAACTAGGACAAATGCCTATTGGTGTGCTCTTTGGTGCATAAACTCCAAAGTATAATATGCTTATGGAGTAACTGCACATGGAGTAAAGCACAATGGGTAAAGAAAAAAAAATCAACAAAATTCCCATAAAAAAATTTGTTTCATTTTTTTCGGGAACAAATAAAAAATTTAAATTAAAAAAATAACACCCTAGTTTCCATAATCATGCGGAATTCCAGTTAACAAACATTGAAAAGAAATACTCACATCACGCATAAATATATATAATTTCTCATCGATCTGGAGATATTATCGAAAATCATAAATGAATTACCTTTTGGATTGAAGCGAAAGAGAGATCTGGAAATAGAAGCAGAGAATCTGAGAAAACAACAAGTAGAAAATCACGAGACGTTGGATACAAAATTGAAGATACAATCGCACAACCCTAGTTTCCATAATCATGTGGAATTCCAGTTAACAAACATTGAAAAGAAATACTCACATCACGCATAAATATATAATATTTCTCATCGATCTGGAGATATTATCGAAAATCATAAATGAATTACCTTTTGGATTGAAGCGAAAGAGAGATCTGGAAATAGAAGCAGAGAATCTAAGAAAACAACAAGTAGAAAATCACAAGACGTTGGATACAAAATTGAAGATACAATCGCAAATTAGAGAGAGAGAAGGATATACATACCTGGGGGAGATATGGAGAATTATCGCCAAGCAAATTTTAGAGGTGGAGTGTTTCTTGTGTGGGGGGAAAGTTACGAATTAGGATCCTCTCTAGCCATCCTTGGTCCAGCATTGTCCTGCAGTTTGAATAGGATGAAGACACGTTGGGCAGACCAGATCCAGCGATGTAGAAGAGTCCACGTCGGTGGAGGAGGCAAGGAATGTGCAGAGTGATGTCGTTTTGACCAATAATCCAAAAACTAAATGATGCAACGTCCTTTTTGGGGTAACGGAGGCCACAATTGTCAAACGACTGTTCACTCCAAGCCCTAGACTAGATCCCCAAATTTCCAATCCTCCATAGCGTCTGAAGGGCAAAATAGAGCTGCAGCGGTAGAGGGAGACCCTGCGCAGGCCAACTTACACTGAATAGCACCATGGAGACACAACTTAGGTGGAAGTTTTAGTAAGTACTTTGAATCATCATTCAATTCAACAAAAAACAAATTCAACTAACCAGCCAAGGTCTGGAATGAGGAGTTAGGGTTACTTACGTTGGGATGTTTTGGGAGATGACCGTCGATGGAAGAAAGAGTGCATCCCTAATCCGAACTAGGTATATGACGCTGCCAATGTGAGGGAACTACACTATAGGCGTCGGGGTTGCAGTAGTATCTTTGGCGTGGGCTGCTGGGTTTCAGGCAAAAGACCATGGCATGGGTTGGGATGAAGGAAAGGGTTTAGGGGCAGTTGGATGATTTTTTACTCCGTTATATTCATTCACCGTTAAACTTCACAAAACAAAGTTTAATCCTTTAATTTTGGTCTCTCGCCAACAACGACGACGTTCTAATAAGTTCATTTCTTATTTCCACAACGTGGCGTATCCTTTACCCTCAGATTGCTTCTTTGCCGCGCCTCACAATCTTGTTGAAAGTGCTGGACACTGCTGGAGAGAACATTGCTGGAGAGGATCCAAATCCGAAAGTTACCGACTTAATAGAATTTTTGTGTGTGTTTATCCGTCCGGAGCGGCTCAATCCGGTCTAATATGTTCTTTTTTTTTTCTTAGGTTACATGGTTGGAGATCCAATCCAATTTACGTGCATCTCAATTAATTCTTTTTTTGTATTCATGTTGGGATTAAAAAATTTATAAAAAATTATTTTCACATAGTTTGGTCCTAGGAGTTAAATTCCAAGTAATTATGTAGACAGTATACCTACCAATTTGGTTAAGTCCCTGCTATCTAATTTTTATTAAAGCGAAAATATCTGGAAAAAATATATATATTAAAACTTTTTTGAAAACCTTAGATATAAGTTACAAAGTAATTACAAGTTATCAAATAATTTTTTTGCTTTTATGCACATTTTTCTTAAAAATTTAAAAAACATTACTAGAAAACTCAATTCCCAAACATCTCCAATGTAATAGTAACACCACATAACTTCAAATCAAGATTGCTTGAGTTGTGGGATGGCAGCCCCCCCTAAACTTCTTAAAATTAGTTAATTAATCCTGCATTATGAATTATTTTATATTACACATAGAATGACTTCCTAAATTTTTAAAAATTTATCTATTAATAATTCCTATACTGCATAAGTATTCTTGCAATGCATATAAGATGGCTCTAAACTGTTTGTTATGATTACTTTACAACAAAAATGAAAGTGTAAATTAAATTGTTCAAATTGAAACTACAAAAATTAAAATAAAGAAAGACATGTAATTTACCCATTATTTTTTATTATTAAATTATCATAGTTCTACACCTATTTAATCATTATTTCTCTATTAAATTAAAGTGCTCCCATTATTGTTGTAGTGATAACATTACATGATTTTTTTGTTTTACATTAATATCAGTAGCAATGACAATATGTGAGTAATAGTATGGGTCGAGGACCCTACTCCCACCTCACCTCCCTGATCTATTTAGCTTTACAAGTTGACATTTTTAGCATTAAATTCTAATAATTTGGATTTATATGTAGCCCAATTGAGTAGAGAGAGAACGAAAATGAAAAATAGAATATATATAAAAAATAAATAAATAAAAGAGATTACATCCTAAACTGCAAGTTCTAACAAATATATGAGAGACAGAGAGATCTGAAAATGTTTACTGGCATTGAAATGCATTGCACAAGGGAAAGAAAAAAAGAGGGGATTTACACACAGGTATAAAGATTACATACAAGAAAGGATTTACCAACTAAAAACACTACCGTGCAAACACCAAGACCTAAGATGTAAATCTTGATGGATCGAAAGTGTTAGGTCCCTTGATTGTCAAATCCGGGTACAAAACTTTGTGTTGAACAAGTTGTAATTTTCCTGTGTTTTTGTTCTTCCCGCTCGAGCGGGACCATTGGCGCTTGAGCGGATATTGTAGTCTCTCAGTATTTTGTCAAGTCTGTAAAAATATTGGAAGGTATGATTTCGCGCTCGAGTGGATCATCAAGTGCTCGAGCGGAAATCTGTTTTGTCGCACGCAGATTTTGCTGAAGCCGCTCGAGCAGGATGTTGGGCGCTCGAGCGGAGATCGTGGACTCAGGATTCCTATTTATACCTGTCTAGGTTGTTTTTAGGACTACTTTTTCTGAGATCGTATTCAAGAGTCCTAGGGTTTTGTTTGAAGTTTTGTTCTGAGAGTTTTCCTTGATGTTTTGAGAAGAGTTTTTCAATCATGATCTAAGATACATACATCAAGGAGTTGGTTACTTTAAATTCAAGAGAGAGATCTCTTCGGTGGATTCCAAAGATTCAAGCGTAGAGTATCAAAAGGAGTTTGATTCTGTACGTAGTCGTTCATTCGACAAGTGAAGTTGTGGATTCAACTTCAGGATTGATCAGTTCCGAGACGAAGGCGTGGTGAAAGAGTTACAGAAGATTCGAAGACAAATTGACTGAGTGGGGTAATTTGTGTGTTATCTTTGTAATCTTTCTTACTTCAGTAGTGGATTGATTAGTGGCGTTTCACCCGTGGTTTTTGATTACAATTGAAGGTTCTTCAATTGTGGTTTTTTCCACGTAAAAATCGTTTGTGTCGATTTACTGTTTATTCTGAAAAACAAACAATCTAAATCACTTTCGTAAGTGCTTGTTGGTTTAGATTGTGTGTTTTGGATATTTGGGATTTGGAATATTTTAATCTTGATCTAATCACGAATCACTTAGGATTTTCAATTGGTATCAGAGCAGGTCACTCTTTTTTTAAAAATATAGGAGTGTGATTTTGTGTGACTAGTGATATGGATTCTATTCGTGAAGGTAACTCGACCCATAGACCTCCTTTACTCGATGGTACAAACTATTCTTATTGGAAAGCTCGTATGAGAGCGTTTTTAAAATCCATCGATGAGAAAGTTTGGCACAGCGTAATCTATGGGTGGAGTGAACCTACTGTCATCATTGATGGTGTTGATATTTTTAAACCCCTTGATAAATGGGACACAATTGATTACCAAAACTCGAGTTGGAATAGTAAGGCTCTCAATTCCCTGTTTTGCTCCGTCACACCTGAAGAGTTTCGTCGTATCTGCACGTGTGAGGTAGCAAAAGAGGTTTGGGACATTTTGGAAACGATTCACGAAGGTACTACTTCTGTCAAAAGGTCAAAACTTCAACGTCTCACCTCCGCTTTTGAAACTCTTTTTATGCGCGATGATGAGACGTTTGATGAATTCTATGCAAAACTTAGTGATATCGTGAATTCCTGTTTCACACTCGAGGAAAAAATCCCGGAAGCTAAGGTTGTTGGAAAAATTTTGAGGTCCTTACCCGAGAGGTTCCAATCAAAAGTGACAGCCATTGAGGAGGCTCAGAATGTTGATACCCTCAAGCTTGATCAATTGGTTGGAAACTTGCAGACTTATGAAGCCCACCAGATTTCAAAGAAAAAACAAAAAGAAAGTGTGGCTTTCACTAGTGCTCATGAGTCTGCAAAAACTCCGGAGGCTGAATTTGATTTAGAGTCTGAGATGACGGCTATGTTTACTAAACAATTTAAAAAAAAAATTGAAGAAAAAGAAGCCTAATTTCAGAGACCCTATTTCAAAAGACAAGAGTAATGAAAAACCCAAAACTTTTCCACCAAAACTTGCTCCAAAAACTGAAAAGAAGATTGTAAAGGGGCAAGGGGTCAAGTGCTATGAATGTCAAGGGTTTGGTCACATTGCCCTTGAATGCCCTTCGAAAAAGAATCGAAAGAAAGTCTACACTGTGACTTGGGATGATGAAGGTGGGTCGGAGCAAGAACCCGAAGAACCTGAATCTGGAGAAGACGGGGATAGTGCTTTCATGGCATTTTGGTCCACTTTCACTCAACCTCTTCTAAAGCCAGCGGAGTTAGCTCGTGGTCAGAACCTGCATCATGCTCCTACCTTTGATGGGAGTAACTACCTGTTTTGGAAAATCAAAATGAGAGCTTTTCTGAGAGCTTTTGATCCAGAAGGCTGGCAGGCTATTGAAGAAGATACAGACAGGGCTGACAATCCGAGCAGTCAGAGAGTCCTGATCACTATTCGTGGAGCAATTTCTACTGAAGAACAGCAACGGGTTGTTCATTGCACAAAGGCTAAAGAGGCATGGGAAATTTTGAGCCAATTCCATGAAAGAGGAAATTCACCTTCACTACCATCCAGCAATCTTTCTGTCTTAGTTGCCAAACTGGATGAGGTCAAGGAGAATGAAGAGCAAAAAGAGGATGATGAAACATCTGAAGATAATGATGAGATCAATAGCGATGAACTACAACAAGCCTATGAAAAGCTGTACGAGGAATCTCTGAATTTGTCCAAAATCAACGACAAACTCTCTCTCAAGCTCAAAACATGTGAGAGTGAGAATGTCAGGCTGAAAGAAGAACTTGTAACAGTAAAGCAGAATATCGTCAAGATCTCGAGTGATAGGCAAGACTTATGTGGAAAACTTCTATCATGTGAAACTGAAAGGAATGAACTCCTAAAGGTGTATTCCACATATGAAGACAAGCTTGAAAGCCTTGAGATGTCACAAGCTACATTGGAAGAGAGAGTCTGTCAAAAAGATGAAGAACTCCGTGTTACTAGAGCCACTATTGCCATGTGGAACAAAGGTTCCAAATCTTTAGAAGACATCCTCGGGTCTCAACAAATGGGTTGTGACAAAAGCGGCTAGGCTATGATGCAACAACTCACAAGGGACAGGCCTCCACTTCATATGACATGAAGACTCAAGCAAAGGGAAAGTTGAAGGTAGACCAGGCTGATCTCTCTCTTCATCTACCTAAAGTTGGTAAGATCAACAAAAGGGAGGTAAAACCTGTTTTTATTTGTCATCACTGTGGTAGGTATGGCCACATTCGTCCTTATTGTTTTGAATTATTTGAAAAGGTGTCTCAAAAGGGTAGAAATTCAAAAACTTTTTGGGTTAGGAGACAACCTTATATGTCTAGGTGGAATACCAAGACTAAAAAGATTTGGGTGAGAAAAGATGATTTGACTTGTTTTTAGTTGTTTACACTGCTCTAAAAGCACGTGATTCACACATGTGGTATCTTGACAGTGGGTGCTCTCGTCATATGTCCGGTAACAAATCTTACTTCACCTCCCTTGAAAAATTGAAGGAGGAATTGTTACTTTTGGAGATGGCGGCACTTCTAGAGTCATTGGAAGGGCTCTATAAGTGTTGCTGGTCTTCCTAAGCTCAAAAATGCTCTTCTTGTTGATGGTTTAAAGCAAATCTTTTGAGCATTAGTCAAATGTGTGATTCCCATCATGAAGTATTGTTTTTCAAAAAATAAATGTGAAATTTTGGATAAAAAGGGAAATACTGTCTTACATAGGGTTCGCACATCTGATAACTGCTATGGGATTGTTACTACTAATGATCTCACTTGTCACTCTGCATCATTAGTAACATTGACCTGTGGCATCAAAGATTAGGTCACATGAATTTCAAAGACCTAACTAAAATAGCTAACAAAGAGCTTGTGAGAGGAGTACCTAAATTGGGTAAGAATTTGAGCCATGTGTGCGGACCATGTCAACTTGGAAAGCAACCCGTGCCCTCATAAAAAGGTGAACAGCTTTACAACCAAAACATCCTCTTGAATTGGTTCACATGGATTTAATGGGTCCTACTCGCACTGAAAGCATCGGAGGTAAAAATACATTTTTTTAACTGTTGATGATTTTACTCGATTTTCATGGGTAAATTTTTTAAAGAAAAAATCTGATACGTTTGATGCTTTCCAGGCCTTAGTCTTTAAAATCCAAAATGAACAAGGTGTTTCCATTGGTCGTATCATAAGAATCCGAACCGATCATGGTCGTGAGTTTGAAAATAGTTCGTTTTCGGATTTTTGTGATACACATGGAATTAAGCATGAATTTTCTGCACCCATTACTCCACAACAAAATGGAGTTGTTGAGAGGAAGAACGGGGTTGTTCGAGAAATGGCTAGGGTCATGCTCCTTAGTAAGAACTTCCTCCAAAGTTTTGGGCCGAAGCCCTAAATACTGCTGTTTATGTCATAAATCGCGTGTATTTAAGGCCTGGCACTTTTACAAACTCCATATGAATTGTGGAAGGATTGAAACCTAATGTAAAATACTTCAAAACTTTTGGGAGTAAGTGCTACATTTTCAAAGATAGAGAGCCTTTGAGCAAAATTTGACTCCTGAAGTGATGAATGTATTTTTCTAGGGTATTCAACCAACAGTAGGGCTTTTCGAGTCTATAACCTGCGAACTTCATCTTTAATGGAATCTATCAATGTGGTTATAGATGACACAGGTGCACCTACTCCAGCAACATATGAGGATGACAATGATGAGTCTCCAATCTTGGATACTGAACCACAAAATCAAGGAGAAGCTGCGGACCAATCACAAGAAATTGTTACAGCTCCATCCTCACAGGTAAGTTCAAATCCAAAGAGTGCTCCAAGGGACATCACTCCTGTTGCTCCTGTCACCGCAAGTCTTGAGCTTAAACCATCAGCTAGGGTGAAACTGAATCATCCAGCTCAACAGGTGATTGGAAATGTCTCGGATCGAATGAAAACCCGAAGACAGATTTGGGATGAGGTATCACACATGTGTTATGTTTCATTAATTGAACCTAAGAATTTTAAAGAGGCCTTGCTAGATGATAGTTGGGTCAATGCTATGCATGAAGAATTAGGTCAATTTGAATGTAACAAAATTTGGACTCTAGTTCCCAAACCTAGAGACATGAATGTGATAGGTACCAAGTGGATCTTTAAAAATAAATCTGATGAGAATGGTACAGTTGTTAGGAATAAAGCTAGGTTGGTTGCTCAAGGCTACACACAAGTAGAGGGTGTTGACTATGATGAGACGTTTGCCCCAGTTGCACGTCTCGAATCTATTCGTATTTTGCTTGGTGTTGCATGTTTTCTTGGCTTTAAATTGTTTCAAATGGATGTGAAAAGTGCCTTTCTGAATGGGTACTTAAAAGAAGAGGCATATGTTGAGCAACCAAAAGGGTTTGAGGACCCTAAATGTCCTAATCATGTCTACAAGTTAGACAAGGCTTTGTATGGATTGAAACAAGCCCCACGAGCTTGGTATGATAGACTTACTACATTTCTTCTTGATAATGATTTTCAAAGGGGTAGTGTGGATAAGACTTTATTTGTGAAATATACTAAGTCTCATATTCTTGTTGCTCAGATTTATGTTGATGATATTGTGTTTGGATCCACTGCTGAACATCTTGTGAAAT